TTGGTATGGAACCATAATATTGGTAATTACCCTGAACCCTAAACCCCATAATATTGGTATGGAACCATAATATTGGTAATTACCCTAAACCCTAAACCGCATAATGTTGGCCCTGATTTCGGGAAAAGACTTGAAGTCAGCTCTCAGGTGCGTGCCTAACGCTAAGATCAGGACGAAGCCCTCACGCGTACATATGGAGTAGTTCACGATTGGGGGGTTTCCCAAAATTAGGGGTACCATTTTGGGGGCTCTTATGATAAGGATTATAGTATATTGGAGTCTACAATTGGGGTCCCCTTATTTTGGGAAAGTACCGTTGAGTGGCAAGGGCCCTTCATTGACAAGACGACATTGACTGAGCGCAGCAAGTTCAACATCGGATGGCATTCAAGGAAATGACATCTCGACGCGTCTTAAAACTGCGTATTATCTCTGCTAGGAGCACGGGCAAAATTTGCAAAGTTATATCAGGCTTGAACTTCAACACCCGGCAAATCGCAGAAAACCTACCCTAAGATCTCGCAAGGTGGATTGATAGCCCCTTGCTTCTGAAGTAGGCAGGCCTTATGAAGCGCAGAGGCTGCTGACGATCCTTCGTGCCAGCCGCCATCAAGGATTTGTCTTCTCCTGCAGTCACCACTGGCTGGATGGTGGATTTTGGATACGAAGTCCAGGGCTACCCTAAACCTTAATGTAGACCCCTGATTAATACACTTTTTCCGGCAATAGGAATTAGAATATTAAGGCCCTTAAGAGGAGGGGGTTATGAATCAGGAGTCTACATTAAACCCTAAACCCTATATGTTTATGGTGAAACGAAGGCTGGCCCCTTTTGTAACCAAATATCGAGGGGTACCAAACTGAGACCCTAATTTTGGGAACTACCCGTATCCGCAATATCATCTACTCCGCTTGACATAGAGAGCCGGCGCGTTGCTAGATGATGAATAGACCTAAGACAGAATAATGGAATGTATTATATAGGGAATATATTCCTTGATTCCCTACTAACTACCAGTAAGTCGAGGGCAATGGAAATCAGGAAGCCCCCACTTCACGCATCCGAAAAAGCACATGCAAGTTCCCAAAACACAGGCCTTAAACCCTCGCAACCCCATGTCCGCTTGATTTGTTCCTTGTCTTTTCCATTTGACAGTCCTTTCTTCGGGTACTATTCCTGAACAATCCGTATGTACCCTAGATACCATTGTATGCTAGTAGGTTGCATTTCCATTCTCCAAATTACTCCTATATAACCCAAATATAACGCACCCTAAACCCCTCTATTCCCTCAGCTTCCATTTGATTTTCCATTTTCTTTTCCACTTGCTTCTCCATTATAGGGAGATAATATAGTAACCCTAAACCCTATAGTATACCCCAAAACCCTAAACCCTAAACCTTGCAGCAGCATCAGCTGAGCAGACAGCGATTCGCCTGGATGCCTTGCAGCAGCTTTCTCCATCGCCTTCGCAGGCATCAAAAGTAGGATCCTTATCATGGAGACCTTAAGGGTTTAAGGTTTAGTGTGTTGCTGCCACGCAATGATGGCAGGGAGCCCAGACATGACAAGAAGAAACCAAAAATGCGAGAATGGGGCCTTTGAAAAAAAAGGGGGTGGGGTCCCGCTTTGCGAGCTCCTAAATATGGGCTCCCGTTTTTGGGAACTCCCATCTTCTTGCAGCTAGTGAAGGCCAAAACTGCGGTTACCCAGACCCCCCTAAAGGATCCAAAAAATGGAACCCCCCCAATATGAGCCCATTACTACATTAGGGAAACTAGGTGATTATTAGGGGTTCCATTGTTGGATCCTTTAGGGGGTCTGGGTACGGGCTTAAGGTTTAAAGCCAGAGAGGCGTTTGTCAAGAAATGCGACAACTGTCCTAACACCACCTTGTCAGAGAGCCTATATGAGGCACTGTTTGACAGGTTAGATTATTCTGCGATACCTACTCGTACTCATCCTCTCAATGTTGTTGCCAGTAGAATCTCTAGTATACATGCCGGCCTTGTCCCCAGAAAGGGTCGCCATTTGCGGGATCCCTCACCCAGCCACCCTGCTTCGTGCTAGCAGTGACAGCTGAGGTTCTGAGCCAGGGCGGGCCAAGTTGTGCAGCATGCACACAAAGAGCTATATAGGGGTTATACAAGGGTTATAGGGGTTATATAGGGGTTTTATGGGGATAATGGAAAAGAAAATGGAAACTACTATAACCTAATTTTCACAGGGATAATCACTGTTGGAAAATGCTTGTAGACTTGTACTCGCAGTAGTTGTACAAGTGCTAATGCGATCATACCATGGCTCAACTCACTCAATTGTCCGGCCGAGTTGCCTTCGCATAGAGCTGTGCAACTTCGATGCATTCATGCCGGCTTTGTCCCTGCCCTTCTTATGAGCGCGAATACCTCTCTTTCACAAAACTGAGGACGACTATCTACACATATCCACCCAGCTCAAGCGTAGGGGCTTCTGTCAATGTAGTCAACAACCACGCTTCTACTCCTGTATAGAATAGGTACACATGCAAAGACCCAAGGATACTGTGCATCAATTAACTACTAGGATCACATCCATGAGTTGTGACATGCCCATCAGGGTGGCGTAAGACACATCTCTCTATGTGTGTATATACATATACGTAAGTATATATGCACACATATATCACTTTGTGTATATACATATACACATGTTTCTTGCCACCCTTCATGGTCGAAATGTATCTGTTGGAATGCACCTTGATTGCCCAGGGCGCATAGAAAACAAAACAATAACGGTGTAGGGTTTACGGTCTAGGGTTTAGGGAGCCCATTTCATGTCAGGCTTCGCGGTTTCTTCCGTGCCCCCTTTCTCCACGTAATGTTGCATCCAAGAACTATGTCAGGCTACATGTCCGAGAAACATGCCAGGCTTCATTCAGGAAGCTTGCGAGGCCTCATCCAAAAAGGTGTGCAACCCTTAAACCCTAGCCCCTACACCCAAACCCCTAAAACCTAAACCCTAAACCATATCCCCAACCACCTGACCCCCAAACCCTAAACCCAAGCCCCTCCCCTCTCGCAAACAGCAAGCCTGGAGCCCTCCACACCCGTCCGGGGCGGTGGGCAAAACCTGCAGGCTTCAAGCACTCCACGTGGTTTAGGGTTTCGGTTATTATAGCGATGTTTGTATCCGGGTATATAGGGGTATAATATCGGGCTATACAGGGATCATGGAGAGGAAAATAGAAACTACCATTTAGGGTTGAGGGTTAGGGCTAAAAATCAGCCAGGCCACGCCAGTACTAAGAAACAAGTTGTTTTCAATAATGGCATTGTAAAACGCTGTCACTTTAAAGTAGAAAATGAATCGCATGACAACTACTCAAAACTTGTATACTCTCTGGGTTAGGAAAGTGTGCTGAGAGAAACATCTCAGCACTACGCTACTTGGGCCAATGTGGGTGAAATAAACCCATATCAATGCAAATCATCGCCTCAATAATTCTGACTCTGCAAAACACAAATTGAACGACGGTCCAAGTATTTGCTGATGTTGTCTCATTGCATGTCCAAGCCTTGGCCAGTACAAATGGAGCTCATATTGGAGAAGATGAATCGCTCGCAAGAATGATAGATGCTCTGTGTTGCAGCCGTGTTCGTTTGACATCCGCATACTTTTATTTGTGCCTGCAAGACTTTATCTTTTCTATAGCCCTTAGACACAGCTTGCAGCTACCCCATTCGCCTTGGGTCCTAAGATCAGAGGTTCGCAAATCACGATCACAAGGAGCCCTGAATGGAGGTCGCTTGGCAGCTGGCGCCGCTTTGAGAAGCATCATGGTGTCCATCTTGTTTTTGACAGCTGCGATAAGACCTGGCTAGGGTCAAGCTCTTTGGGATATGGAAGGCAGAGAAACTACAGGAGAGTGAGGGATCCTGAATGCAGATCCTGTTCAAACCGTGACAACGAGCCAAACTCACATCATTGCCACGAGTCCTACCATACCAGATTGCAAACCCACCCCTGGCCCCCGCAGTAAGGCCCAACTCCTGTCAGTCGAAGGTCTTCGAACCCCAAACATGATGATCTAGCGCTCTAACTCTTGTCACTCGCAAGTAATGTTGTTCTGATGATGATGATGATGATGATGATGATCCTGTTCATGTTTCAGCTGCAGTAGGAGCAGGAGTTGCTTTTCTCACTGGCGCTTGCCTGCGCTATCATGGAAAGAGCTGAGATTGACCCCAACCACCTCTGTTGACTCTCAACCCTACTTGGACGGTCAGGGGGGCTAAGTCAGTAGGTTACTAATGGGGATAACTAGGGTTACTATGTGGATTATAGGGGGTAATAACCTACTTATTAAGTCCCCCTGACCATCCAAGTATCCTCAGCCACAAAAACATGGTGCTCTGACTTCTACTAGAATCTGCTGTCGTAGTTTCCATTTTCTTCTCCATAATATACTTTTACCCCATAAAAAAAGGCGTTTCCATTTTCTTTTGCATCATCCCTATATATCCCAATATAATAATAGTTAATAGTTTCCATGTTCTTTCCATTACCCCTATAACCCCAGTACACTATAGTAGTTTCCCTTGTTCGCTTCCATTATCCCTAAAACCTAAACCCATATAACCCTATTATAGTAGTTTCCACTTGGTTTTCCATTATCCCAGGCATGCCCAGGCCTGCTACTCACATCAGCACCCATCCACCGCAACCATGTGCTTCCACTGCCACCCAAACATTAACTTTCTAAGCACCGCACTTGGGCCAAAGACGCAAGGCACACAGGGCTTGAATTCTGGATTGGAATCTATCAAGCTACTACAATCCTATCCACCACCACTACAGCTTGGGGGTGATTGTTGCAATGGTCTTATCACTCTAGGCTGCGGTCATGTGGGGGATGGGGCCGCTACAAATGTGCAGGGCTTCTAAGGTGACCTCAAGAACTCCGTCTCTAGGATTCTAGAGGCAATGTTTTGAAAAGGTTCCATGCCTGCTGTGACCTTGGTAGATCGCACGTACCCTCCGCAAGGATTTCCAAGACCCCAGGGCTCAACAAAAAGTCTCATAGGAGGACGACCCCGATGAGGAGAGCCACCCCCAACCAAAACATCCGAACTTTTGCAGAAACCTGAACACAGGTCTGAACTCACCAGCAAAGCTTTTTTATTGCAGATCCTTGGATCATCTGTATCGCCCAATGGCAAATGCCAGAGCAGCTAAGGCCTAAGTCCTAAAGGCTTCCGCCTGAGACTTCTCAGGAAACCACACATCCTGGAGGACACTACAAACTTGGGCAACCAAAACATCTCACTCGGGTCGGGAGCCATATCTAATATGACCTACGCGATAGCAGCCCGCTTGCAGGATTCCTCTTTTCCATTCGGCAAAGGTGTGCTCATTGAAATTGTGATGTTGTTCGACGGAACTGAGATAGGTAACCCGAATCCTGCAAACGCCGCTTGTTCAAAAGCAGATCTATCAACATCGCGGCGCCTCTTTCTTGATCCTGCCATCAGATCGCCTCAAACATTGCCAACCTTCAACTCTCTAAGCTATCGGGTTTAGGGCTTAGCGTTTAGGGTTAGGGTCTTTTCATAACCCCCAGACACGCTCTCACTTGCAACAATGCGACAAAGACAAGAAGAAGAACCTGCTCTGTTTGGGACTTCACGTCCACTCTGGATCGAGGGGTTGATAACGGCCCCTCAAAGGAAGCCCCCAACCTCGGCCCGTAACAGTCCTTAAATGGATCCCACGAGTTTTCACTGGAAGTTTGGGTCTGGGGGCTCCTTTGGGGGACCATATCAAGCCTATGATGGAGACTCTGTACGATCGAAGTGAAACGAGGGCTTGCTGCTGCTCAATTGCTTCAGGAGTGGAGTCCATCCGTCGGACACACCTGAGCAGTTCTCTCCAAGGTAATGAGAGAAGCCAAAAGGAACTCATTGAAGGCTTGGAACCCATGGTGGCCCCTCGGTTGCAGCCATCCCTATCCCCCAAAAACACCTTTACGACAGCATGAAAGATGCGACTCCAGCCTCCGAAGCTCTAGGCTGATTTACTACTCTCTCCAAAATCCCACCACACTCATGTACAGCCGGAGGTATCCAGGCATCAAGAGAATCTGAAAGCCCCAAGCTCTTCAAACGCCAACCTATAAACGCAACTCCCAAAAAAGGATCTGGAACCTTGCCTGTCAGGTATAAGCAGGGAAGACCTGAACCCAAGACCCTCCAAGCCCATGTCTCCAATTTCCTACATAGGGCTTCCTACACCCCAAAGCCTGCGATCCACACTTCCCAAGAATTGGCCTCAATACTTCGCTCTCTGCTATCAAAACCCCCAAGCTCCCCCCCCCCACCTGCAAGATACCACTGAACCCTAAACCTATATAACCTTGTTAAATAGTTTCCCATTTTATTCTCCACTATCCCAATATTACCCAGCATAACCACCCCAATATGTACCCTATTATAACAGGTACCCAAACCCTTAACCCTAAACCCTCAACCCTCAACCCTAAACCCTCAACCCTGAACCCTCATTCCCTCAGAATGCAGACCCACACCGTGAACAGTGCATCCCAAGCACTGTCGCCCGAGGGCATCCTCAGCTCATAATAGTACTAGAAATGATAATAAAATTTGTAGTAATGATAGTATAAGAGTAATAAGAATACTAACAATAATAGTAGTAATCAAAATAATAGTAAACGTAAAGGTAATACAAGTAATAGGGCTGCCTTCAGGGGATCTTAGAAAGGGTACTCAGCGATGGCACGAGACACAGGACTACTTTGAGGCACTGCCACATCGGAATGCTAGCACTTGCACAGTGTTCCGGATGCTAAGGGCTCTGGGGTGCAGGGATCGGGAGTAGGGCATGAGGTTGAGGACATCAAGCTTCAAGAGGAACCGTTTCTGGGGTGCGGAATTTGCAATCCTGGTGTTCTTGTCAGAAGAAATCTGGATTCTCTTAGCTGTGATGCAGGTCTAGTCACACAAAGGTAGCATCCTCAAGCGTCAGCTGTAACAAAATTTGACAAGCATAAGGACCGTAGTAAGGGCAACATAGAAACTTGATAAGAAAACGTGCAAGACGTCCATTACATGTGGGTAGAGGGGTCGTCTCCCAAAGGCCCTCTACAACACTGTTGTCAGATGCACGGTACTCACCTGGCAAGAAAGTACAGGGTTGCTGTTGAGGAACTTAAACTAAATTACCATCATGGGGAAAACCACAATATATTCACTTTGTATCCATGTTATGGTAGCTTAATGCCTGAATTCCTGAACAGCACACTCTAAACCCTAAACCCTAAACCCAGACTGCCCATTTGAAACATCTTCCTGCGCGTCACAGTTTCGAATGCTCCCCCAGACGAGGCGATCGCTTGCCAGAGGGGCTCGGTCTCTCCTGGGACTATATAGGGCTTATATAGAAATATTACAACCATTATAGGTGTACATGGGCATAATGGAAAAGAAAATAAAAACCACAATGGTATCTTGCTTATCTGTCTCGAGAAGGGTTCAGGGTATATGTACTGGGGTTGGGGAGCGGTGGAGAATCACATGGAAATCAAGTGGAAAAGCAAGTTGAGAAGACACAGATTGTGCTTGAGAGCAATGAGAGTTCAACTTGCCACATATCAATGGGTAGGAAAGCCCCTTTGCAACCTAGCTCTCAATCAAAGTGAACCACACCAGAGAACATCCAGGAATGTTTAACTTCCATACTCGCCAAAACTGGAGTGTGGTAGGAAGGGGGGGAGGTACAGTGTCGGAGGAAAGGTTGGGCGGGGAAGAGGACCAGGGGGACATGCTCGCTCATGTTAGTTCGGGCTCTATGCCCAACCATTAGACTGCCTTCCAGCTAAAAAATCCAGCGCTCATGGTGGGCAACTTTTCAAGAAAGCATTACTCTCTCGCAGCCACATCTTGCATCCTGCAATGCATGGAGTACGTGCCACAACTCACCTGCCAGCATCAGTCTTCAGGGAAGATTGAATGTGTTGGAAGGAGGTATGGGCGGTTCACACCCATCCTGCCACAGCCACCTTGCCTGATGGGTTTACCAGGGCCAATCACCTCTGTGCCGAAGTTTGCATAGGCAAAAAGAAGCAAGGAACATCTGTCGATCACCTCACTGGCCCTGACAACGTCCTTGCGGCCTGGCATTCGGATTTTGGGCGTGTCCGGCTTTCCGCTGAAGAGGCTGTCCACAAGGTGAAAGGACCCTGGGTAGTACTTGGCTTCAAAGGTAGGCATCTGGGAATTCAGAGGCTGCGATAAGCCGAAGTCAGCGAGCACAACGCCGGCTGGGCAACCGTTCTTATCCAAGCCCTTGTAGAACATGTTGTCTGCTTTCAGGTCGCCATGGATGTAGCCAGCACGATGCAAACATGCCATCCCGTCCGTGACTTGCTGGAGGATCGTGTTAGCACACCGCCTCCGCAAATAGGGGTTCGCCTTGTTCCAGCCAAAAATATCTCCGGATGGGATACTTCTTCTCAGTCAGGCCTGTGGCAACGCAAGGGGCAGACTTGGTCAGAGACATGACGTGGGTGCAGTGCTGCCTCATAGCAGACTGAATGACTTTCACCTCCTGCGCACAGTCTTGCTCGCCATAGGCATCGAGACCAAACTTGAAGGCGTAGTAGCCGAGATATCCTTTGGCACCGACCTGACGGGTCCAAGACTAGAGTCGGATCATCATAAACTCAAGAAGCACGAGACGTCAACTCCTATCCCCGTCGCGAATGTTGCTGGCCTCAATGACTTTGCCATTCTGACCCTGCCCCAGCTTCTTTCCTGTCGTCAGCCAGACCACCTCCCCTCTCATGCATTCGAGAGGAGCAGACGGCTCCAATTCCATCATGCTCTCCTGCAAGCTTGCAAGGACGACCCCTCTTAACAACCATGATGATACTCATCAATGTTAAAACTCTCAGTTCGTAAAGACGACAGATACAATGGCATAATGCCCTCCTCATTTCTGCGATTCTGGTCACGGCTGTGGCTGGTGTATCCCTCATGCACGGTTCTGCTAGAATTGTCCACCTGCTTTCTCATTATGTGTTGCTACAAATCTGTGCATGAGAGGAAGCCATTGTGCAATAGAAAAGCTTGTCTTTGGTATCGGTCGTTGCCTGGTCTGGTCTGCGGGGCTTCTGCGGGAGGATTGCATTCTCGTCGTCGGTCAGCCTTTGGTCTCGGACAGCATTAGTCCTGAGAACGCACCAGGCCACGACCACGATTGAGACCCTCATGGGTCTGCACAAATAGTGTGTGTGTGTGTGTGTTAGACAACGGCGTTTGAAGCCTGAACACGGCTGCGGCATGGACACTCTCTCCTGGTGGCAGCCACTGCACTTCTAGAATTCAAGCAATAAAATTGAGCCGCATCTTTGCCTACCTTGACGCTCACTGAACCCAATTTGAAGCTCTAAATCTCTTAGCAAACGCCAGGTCACGTGCTCAGCATGCTCCGTGAGATCGGAGATGAGGGCGGCCAAGGGCCGATGCTCCTCGGAGCAGGTTTACCGAGACACTACCCAAGAGTCAAAAGGTGATCACCACCATGGATTCTGGTTGCCAGCCACACAAGTTTCGACAAGGCTGGTTCCTACACCATTTTCAAGGGAGGGAAACCTAACCCCAAGTCCCCAGGTCCCCAGCGCTGGTTGAAGAGTCCAGGCCCTTCATAAGCCAGCTTCTGGAGTTCTGCTCCGCATAGCCCTCCTGAGAAGGATCTGATGGGTTCGAGACTGGGGGTATTGGGGGGGCCGGGGAATGAAGTGACGTAGCAGGGGACTTTCGACAGTTCACCCTGAAAATCTGAAGCTGCCTTCTGATCGCCTCGATCCCACATCGTGGAGCCCAGGTCCAAGGTACAGAGCAGAGCCCTTCAGTGATGTGTGGAGGATGACTACCGTGATGATCTCCGACTTTGTCAAGGACTCGCTTGGAAAGATTCTTACTGTTCTTGCTAGTGGGATTGCAGTAATAGTCACCACACCACCACACTGCGTACTCTATGAAGCAGGAAATCCTCCAATAGCCACTTCCGGTAGGCAGCTACCGTATCAGGAAGCGAAAGCCTCACAAGAAGCTGAGCTATCCGCTGCAAACCTAGAGTGGTCGTCTGTCCTTACAGATACCTTCATAGAATTTAGGTTAAGGAGAATAGTTCACCAAACCCTAAACCCTGAGAACCCAGACCCGAAGCCCCATGCCGCCTGGAGCCTTGGAGTCTTGAGCTTAAGCCCGCCTGGCCTCCAACGGAGGCGGCCTGCCAGCAGTCAGCGACCGCGCCTCGGCGCAGGCCATTCAAAGCAGATCGCCGGTTGACCATCTTCCCCTTCCCATTAACGCCACCCCCTATATCAAGAGTTCCCCTCATACGTGCTTTTGGCTTGGTACCATGCTTTGGTAGGGGATTGGAATCACGATTCGGATAGTCTTTGGCAAACTCATGAAGTACTGCTTGTTCTCCCCGTTTCTATATGTAGGAGTTTCGAACATCGAGCAGCGAGCCTCCTCCCGAAACTACAGACCATCAAAAAGGTGACCACATTGTGACCACAGACACACCTCCCTGAAACACCCCAAACCGCACAACCCTACACTGGACCACTCGTGTTTTGGGTGGGTGTCCTCCCAATGCTAGGATTGGAGCCCCAAACAGAGTGTGGTCTCCTCTTGGGAAGTTGTACGAACTCAGCCCCCTTGAGGACCAGGAGACATGCAGCGCGAGCTTCTGTTCGTTTGAGCCGGCGCAGCATGGACCCCAATCATTAGCTCATGCAGCTTCATTTTCTGGAACCTTTTGTGGACCTGAAACCCAATGTCGCGAGTTTCGCGAACTTCCCTGTCACCCCGGAGCTTTACTCGCCAAAGAAGATCCTCCCAATTCTCAAGAGAAAAAAATTGCGATAACCTTCAACATGCCCTCTATGGAATCTACAAGCCCTACAGAACCCTAACCCTAAGCCCTGAACGCGGGGTCAGAAAGCTCGGCTTGCTGCTCGCTCCCTCATGCTACTCACGGCGGGGCGGAAGAGCACATGCTCCTTGACCTGCAAGCGGTCTGTGCATGTGGGCTATAGTCTAAACTCCTAGTATCCCCCTTAATAAGCCCTATAGTAGTCCCCTATATAATCCCCTATATAACCCCCTTTAAGGAGTTTAGACTACAGCTCATGCGGGCTGTGAGAGCCATCAACTCTACGAGAATCATTGAGGCAAAGCATGGGGATCGAGTGCTCAGGGATTCTACCATGCTGAGCCCTTCTGGTGTGGCTTGCATGCGCCGCGTGATCTTGGAGCTCTGAGTCTAGCCACAAGACCGTTGATACTAAAAATCCTTCATGACTTCAGTATACTGGACTACCCTAATTCCAAAGGTATGAGGTACTGGGTGTCTTACAGGATTTTGAGTATCTCCAAGTGATGTTTCCGACCAACTTAGCCAGAATGCTGGCTGCCCATACATCAAGGCTCCTCTGGCACTGTTCACACTCAGGATCCTTCTTGCAACAAAATACCACATGGTTTTATGAAGATACCATGGATCCCATGTAATGACTCCAGCCCTTGCCTCGTCACATCAGAGGCAAGATAGCTCACAACAACAACTTGCAACTTGTCCAGAGGAGACTCATGCCCGAACGGCCTTGCTCCCCTGAGTTTCATCCAGAATCTCAGAATTAAGGGATTACAATGATAAATACCTCCCCCAAAGGTACCCCCCAAGATTTAGAACCCTATTTAGTCCTTATTAGCTCCTTAAACCCGGGGGAGGATACCTTTGGGGGGGTACTACTGTAATCCCTTAAATAATGAGGTTGAATCGAAATAGACAGCCCTATAACCTGGCAAACTTCAGAGCCCCTCCTCAAGCTCAACTTTGGGTTTCCCAAAATTGGGGATACGCTTGGGGGGGCCCTATAATCAAGATTCTAGTATGTTGGGGGTCTATATTGGGGTCCCGTAAACCTTACTACCTAAACCCCAAACCCCACACTCTAAACCCTGAACCCTAAACCCTGAACCCTAAACCCTTAACCCTAACCCCTAAACCCTGAACCCTAAACCCTGAAGTACCAAGTCCAGGATCCACGCCCACTCATGGTCGGCGTCGTCTCCACCCGGTTCGAGCAGAGCAGGCTCAGCCTGGCTTGGAATTTGGCTGCAAGTTACATAAGTAGAATAGTGTGTAGACTGTAAGAAGTGGAAACTACTATCGTATATTGGGGTGCTATTGGGATAATGGAGAAAGAAAATGGAAACTACTAAATAGGGTTGAGGTTTGTTTTTGCACACCCATTTTGCGTCTGCACGACACAAAGAGCAGACTGCCAAGGTGAACGTTCGGTCAGATTGGGTTGAGGGTTTAGGATTTAGGGGTTTGGGGGTTTAGGGTTGATATATGATCTGCATGATGACTATATGAAGTTCGGGGGAGCGCTCCATGGCATCAAGGGTATGGGTATAGGGTTCAGAGCATATAGTCCCCCTTTCTTTTTTCATACCCAGAGCATATTCTATCTACTTAAGGGGGGCTATAGGCGTCGGAGTGAAGGGTTCTAGGCCAAGACACCTCTCCAAAATCCAAGAATATAATCTGTAGTCTAAAGTTGTTAAAGGGGCTTGATATAGGGGAAGTACTATAGGGGTCATTGAAGGGGATACTAGGAGTCCAGGCTACGGCTTGTATGACCTAAGGGCCCTCTTCTTGAGTGGTGTCAAGGTTGCTGCAGATACGTTGTGAAGGGTCTCGTGTTTAGCTTTCTTGCGAATCCAACTCGCCCCGCTCCATTGCTGAAACAACCTTTGATGAGACGCGCGGACATCTCCCCAGCATACGGCCTCGTAGTATGCGATGGTCATGTTCACCTGGCAATGAGCCGGACATTGTAGTTTCCATCAATAGGGGAACACTTTGGCTGATCTGCTTCACTATCACGGACGGGATCCTACACATTCACCCCAATAATGGAGAATATGGGTGTTGCAGAGGGATAGATAGGGTTCGGGTTATGTAGAGTTATGAAGGGATATATGACCCTCATAAGGTTTAGGGTTTGGGGGATAATAGCGAATCAAATGGAAAGTGGAAAATGAAAACGAACTTTGTGTACTTACATGGACACGTCACCGCCAAAGGGTGCACATTCACAACGAAGCTGATGCCCCAAACTTTAAGCCCTAAATAATAGATTCCGTTTCATGTTCGGTTTGATTCTCAATCATATTGGTCATACGTCCCCATATAACCCTCAGAATTATGCATATATATATATACATATACATGTATTCCCGTATCCAGTTTCCAGCTTCTCAGGTCCAGGCCAACCGGCACATGGACACCTTGACGGAAAATACAATCAGGTACTCGCCCAGCACCT